TTCTTCTTAATTTTGCTTTAGTTATACCTATAGATTTTTTTGTTTTACCTTTATTCTCCATAAAGCTCCAGGGCCTAAACATCCCCAAGTTTGGGCAGTTCTTTACTTTGTGCTGTATGCAAATCCCCTGATCACCTCTGAAAAAAGAACCACTTCCTCTTACTGTTATCCTATAATAAAGAGAATTCCCAAACACAATTTCCTAGACAAAATGTTACTTCTTTGAGAGTAAGGTCTATATTATTTCAGTTTACTGATAAAATCAGCTCTGTTCTGACACAGAGAAGTGATTCAGAAAATAAATCCAACGGGATGTCCCTGGTATGGCATCAAGATTTAGGAACAAGAAAGTTAGCATTAAAAATAGAAAAATTCCTGAGAATACTGCAATTGATATCAAAAGTCCTAGGATACAAGTGAAAGTAGCCCCAAATGCGAGCCAAAACTAATATGTGAATAAGGATCCCATACAATCCTCAATTACAAAGCAAGACAACAATGCTTATCTTGCCTAACCCATATCATTAGTATAAGGAGCAAATACAGCATTAAAGATCAAATCAAATCAAAGTACTATATATAAACTGTAAGGTGCTTCCTTTTTTTTAACCCAATAAATTTAAATTTGCTTCCATATTTAGATGAGAACTACATAACTAAATACCTATGGTAGTCATTAAAAACTTAGGAAATTGGTATTACCATTACCCTTATTTTATAAATTTATGAGGAAATGTATGTCTAAAGAGATAAATGTAGGCTAAAGAGATTTAAAAAAAAAAAAAAACTCCTCTAAAGTTGCACAACCCAGTCAACACAGAGGGTTGGGTTTCAAGCCCATGCCTGACTCCCAAAGCCCATGCTTTTAATTTAACCACTATGTTAAAAAACCCAGACCACCGCTGCAAAGGTCAGCAGCTTAAAAGAGTTGTTCATAAAATAGGAACAATTCCATATTCCAGGGTAGCCAAAAAAGAAATATCCAGAATTCTCTTTTGGAGGGTGGAACCCTTATAGTACAAGTTTCCCCCACTAGGTAAGTGTTCTAGGAACCCATCAACATCACTGTACCAGCTAGCATTGTTGTAAGAGGCTGCATTTGGCTTCAGTGAATTTTTCTGGAGATTCTTTCAAGGCATTTGCCCATTTCATGATGGGTGATTTACAAAAACAACCTGCCCATACCACACCGAGCGTTCTGCACTCTTTGACCAAAACCAGCAAGACTCCTTTGCCCCACTCTCCCTATTCACCCAATCTCAGCCCAAGTGACTTCTTTTTGCTTCCCCAGATGAAAATAGTCCTCAAAGGGAAATGTTCTGCCAATGTGGAAGAGGTGAAACAAAAAAGTGCAGAAGCACTTAAAGGCATCCATATTTGATTAGCTCAAAAATGTTTTTGAGCAGTAGAAAAAGCATCTCAATCGGTGTATTACATCAGAGTATTTCTGAAGGTGACTGACGTTTAAACATGTAATACACAATTTTTAATAAATAAATTCCAGTTTGGGGGAGTTCCCCTCGTATATTGTTCACTGCAAAACACCTGAGGACCTCATTCCACATACCCTAAACAGGAAAAAAAAAAAATCAAGTATTTATCTATATAACTCTTTTCCTTAAAAGATTATAATTTTTTTAAAAAAATCCATGACCCATGTTCTTTTTCATAATATTTAATTTAGCAATTTGAGTGTTAGACAGAAGTCTAGGATAGCTGCAAAGGAGAGGATGCAATCAATTAAGAGAAATTATAGAAATACATGAAAATCTCAAAAAGCAGGTACAAACTGCCTTTTATTTGCTGTAACATGGGAAACTTGATTTGGAAAAAGAGAGACTTGTCATGTGTGGCCACAGAGTAATTTGTTTTTAAGTAAATGCTAATAAATAAATAGGTATACTCCATTCTTAAAATCACCCCAAATTCAAAAGGTAGTTAGTTTTCATAAGCGAAGATGTTTATAACCAAACAGTTGTCCTAGTAACAACCTACAGGAGTAATCACTGAGACTCAGCTACTCCCACAATGGCTAAAAACAAATATAAAAATCATTCAAGAATGATGGCAAACAGTCTTTATTCTCTGTGATACAAGAAACCAATCACAAGCCCATCTGTGTGAGACCTACCTAATAAGAACATTATTTGAGAGGAGTACAAGGAGAAGGATTGATTGTCAAGGGGGAAAGTCATATATTAGACTGTGACAAGTTCTTAAAAGTTTGCATTATCATTAACCAACTGCTTGGCTCTCTGGTTTGCACACCTGCCACCAGCCAAAGTTATTGCAGTAGTAAACTTGGAAGTAGGGCCCACCTCTAAAACACTGGCACCCTCTTCTGATCCTTTTGTAGTACTGCATGCACTCAAATTACTGAAATGAAAAACTTACTAACAAAGCCATAACTTTGTAGGCGACATTTACCAGCTGATTTTATATTTTTAATTCCCTAAATAAACCTAAACTTAGATTAACAAAAATACATAAGAACAGATCTTCTAAATAAAACATATCAATGAAAAAGAAAACTAAGCCGGGCTCGGTGGCTCAGCCTGTAATCCCGCGCCTTTGGGAGGCTGAGGTGAGTGGATTGCCTGAGCCCGCGGGTTCGAGACCCGCCTGGGCAGCGAGACCTCATCTCTACAATAAATCAAAAAATCAGCTGGGCATGGTAGTGCAAGCCTGTAATTCCGGCTACTTGGAAGGCTGAGGCGGAAGGATCGCCGGAGCCCAGCAGGCGAGGCTGCGGTGGCCGGGAGCGGCCACTGCACTCCAGTCTGGGCGACAGAGTGAGACTCCAACTCAAAAAAAAAAAGAAAAAGAAAACTATGTACTCAACAACAATTTTAAGTTTATATATGTTACAAGAATAATATGATGTAAATAACTAACGCACAAAGACCAATAGGCATGAATAAAATAGTTTAATTCTAACAACAAATTTATAAATCGAACACTACTATTCTCTTCGCCTTACAGATATGAAAAGTGAGGCACAATGACATTTAAATACACATCCAGGATCACACACCTGGTAGTTAGGTACTAAAGGTGAGGGCTACCTGTCATATTTACTCAGTATCTAAAGCCAAAGCCTTACCACTACTACAACCCGTTATTTGATACCCAAAATATATCTATAAGGTAGAATGGAGCTGATGTCATGATAAAATGAAACGTAGTTAAAATAGAAAAAGTGTAACTTATAAGAAAAATGACTAATTATGTCACCTAACGCTTCCATTTTCAACAAAATCCCAAACTGTACAGATAAAAATATTATATGAAATCGTTTTAATCCTTTCCCCATTCTTCCTTACTTGAAGATTCTGATCTTCTAAGGATATACCCAGAAGAACTCAAATCACTCGATAAAAAAGATACCTGCACACGTATGTTTATCACAGCATTGTTCACAATAGTAAGATCATGGAACCAACCGTGCTGTACATCAAAAGAGGACTGGATTTTTAAAATGTGGTACACATACACAATGGAATATCACACAGCCATAAAAAAGAACAAAATCATGAACTTCGCAGCAACCTGGATGGAATTAGAGTTTATAATACTGAGTGATCTTTCACAGAAACAAAGATCTGAGTATCACATGTTACACTCATAAGTGGACCTTGAACAACTACCATAATACTGTAAGAAAAGGATTGATAGTGGCGGGAATCTATGGGGGGGGCAAGGAGGGGCAGGGAGGTGGGAATAACAGTAGTCAATTCTGTCTGGGGAAGGGGGGCCACACCTCATCAATAAGGGTAACTGCGCAATGTATATTTGTATACCTAACCCTTAAATGTACCCCACAATTTTAAAATAAAAAATATATATAAAATTTTAAAATAGTAATAACAAAAATAAAACATAACATTCACTTATAAAAACAAAATTTCTTTTTACTCCCCATTCCTTTTTTCCACCAAACTACACTCTTATTTATCTATTATCTGGTTAAGAAAAAAAAAAAAGAATCTACATCCCAGGCTTTATTTTTCTTCTATAAAGCAGAACTACTTACCTTTTTCCTACCTAAATTACTTATTTCACTGAGATCGTTTAAAAACATATTAAGATAGTAAATTCAAATAGCATCATCAATTCCTTCTTTGTGATAATTGAAAACATGATAAGTAAAAATCTGCCTGGGATGATTTAGTGTATTCCTACTTGAAGTCATGGTCAACAGACTAGATAATCTAAGATTTCTAAAAATACTAACTTTATTTTCAAACAGGATATGAAGATATATCTGAGGTTCAAAACTAGATCTAGAACTTTAACAGATTTCAGTTTGCCTACATAAAGTTATTCATAACACCAAAAATTAAGAATACTTAACACGTAATCCAAACACAGGGTAACCAAGCTCACTGTCATTCATGACTGGAAAATTTACCATGGGTAAAAATTAAAGCTTCCAAATCAATTATTTATTTTGTATAATTAACCTTTAAACTGTAATAATGTTAGAGTAGACTTTTTTTTTTCTGAGTTGGGATTACATTCTGTCTTCCAGGCTGGAGTGCAGTAAGTGGTAAGATCACGGCTCGTTGCAAAGTCCTGGACTCAGTCTCCCAAGCAGCTGGGACTACAGGCGTATACCACTATGCCTGGCTTATTTTTTTTAGTTTTTGCTTCCCAGGCTGGTCTCAAAATCCCGAACCCAAGCAATCCTCCTGTCTTGGTCTCCCAAAGTGCTGGGATTACAGGTATGAGCCGCCACGCCTAGCCTGCAGTATACTTTGAAGTACAGACTTAGTGACTAAGTTTAAAGTACTGAGAACATAAATAAACCACACCAGCTTTAACTTGCAAGAGCTAAGAACAAGTGAAACAGGATAGTTATATTTTAGCACAATACTGCTTGCACTGCTAAAGAATTCATCATAACATTATTCATAATTTTCAACTCTAAACCAGTACAGGTACACTTAAGAGAAGGTATCAAGGAATCCACTCCACACAGATCCCAGAATTGTTTTTACCTCTGTCTGCAGGATGGCCGCCCTCTGTTCCTTAGCAGTCAAGGACTCCTTCAGCACCTCAATGTGTTGCTTACTGTCTGAGAACTGGTTTGTGAGGGTTTCTAGTTTTGTCTGTAGGGCCAGTAGTTCTGTGTCCTTTCTGGACAGCTCCTGTTTCACCTGGCCAATCTAGAAAAGAAAGTAGAACATTGTAAGAAAAAAAGAAATGAAACAAACACCTCTTATCTGGATCTTTGACAGATCCAGGTCACAAGATATAAAACTAAAAGCAAATTAATTCTAGGGTAGGACATAATCATCTTTTTTGCATCACCTAATTTTAGATCTCTTCTCCTCCCCCCAAAAAAGCTTATTCAACAGACAGGAAAATTTCCAGTCTTCATTTATTGTGTCTTCTAAGGATTCTTTGAATCATTTAGAAAGGGAATGGAGGGAAAGAAAATTCCAACTCAATGAAATGACTATGAGACAGCAGTTTGCAATGCATGCCATTGTGCTGATAAAACAGCTTTAATTTTTTAAAGTTAGACCTCCTCAGAACATGATGGATCAAATGCAGGATTAGTAAAGATATAGCACAGAAGGAAAAAAAGAAACCTCCTGGTACTATTTAAAATAAGCTCAAAAGCTGCTGCTGCTGTGTTTGTTTTGTATGAAGTTTTATTTTTCACTTCAAAAAAAAAGTCTACATAATATCCTTTTTTTTTTTAAACTTATTTTTTGAGTTGGAGTTTCTTGCTGTCGCCCAGGCTGGAGTGCAGTGGCATACTCCCGGCCACTGCAGCCTCAATCTGCTGGGCTCAGGTGATCCTTCCGCCTCAGTCTTCCAAGTAGCCAGAACTACAGGCAAGTGTTACCACGACCAGCTAATTTTTTGATTTATTGTAGAGAAGTCGTCTCACCATGTTGCCCAGGCTGGTCTTGAACCTGTGGGCTCAGGCAGTCCTCTTGCCTCAGAATCCCAAAGTGCTGGGATTAGAGGCTTCAGCCACCACGACCGGCCAAAACCTTTATCTTTTTTTTTTTTTTTTTTTTTTTGAGTTGGAGTCTCACTGTTGCCCAGACTGGAATGCAGTGGCCACTCCCGGCCACCTCAGCCTCGACCTGCTGGGCTCCGGCGATCCTTCTGCCTCAGTCTTCCAAGTAGCTGGAACTACAGGCGCACGCTACCATGCCCCGCAAATTTTTTGATTTATTGTAGAGATGAGGTATTGCCTGCCCAGGTGGGTCTCGAACCCGCGGGCTCAAGCAATCCACTCACCTCAGCCTCCCAAAGGCGCGGGATTACAGGCTGAGCCACCGAGCCCAGCAAAATCTTTATCTTAAAAAGCTACTTTTTAGAGTAACACATATTTTTTTTAATCTTATAATTTTGATGTTATGTGTATTGACTAAAAACAAGATTCCACCTATAAAGTTCTATTGCCTGCAACATACCACACCAACCAAATGGATAAAGTATGTAACCTAAACAAATAATACATAAAATCCCAGTCTGTAAGAACCTGCATGTTTAATTTCAAGTTCATTACTCTGAAAGTGTAATCCATAAATTAATAGATGCCATCACCCCACCATAAATTTCTTTCTTAACACAGAAAGTATTTTCTTTCAAACATCTCCTTTATATTCCTATTGCTTCTTTAAAAAAAAAAAATTATAAATAGGTTGAGCATGGTAGCTCAAGCCTGTGATCCCGATGCTTTGGAAGGCCAAGGCAGAAGAATCATTTGAGGCCAGAAGTTCAAGATTAGCCTGAGCAATACATCAAGATCCTGTCTCTACAAAAAAACAAAAATAAAAATTAGCTAAGTGTCGATGGTGTGCTTGTAGTCTTAGCTACTTAGAAGGCAGAGACGGGAAGATTCTTTGAGCCCAGAAACAGAGGGTTACAGTGAGCTAGGACTGTGCCACTACACTCCAACATGGGAGAAAGAGCAAGCCTCTGTCTCTAATAATAATAATAATAATAACAATAATAATAATAGAGAGGATTTTAAAGATAATATTTTAATGTAAATGTAAGCTAAACAAACAGAAATAAAATCTGTTTTTATGTTATATCTACCACCTAGCAAGGAACTAAAAGATATATTAATTTTTAGAAATATGAATTTGACAAGAAGTCAATAATTTCAGTATCACTGATGAAACAAAAAGTACTTTTTAATTTATTTTTTAAGAACTGAATGTATCTAAAGTATTTTAATTGTAATAATCTCAGATATAAGGGGTAACGCTTTTGAGAATTATTTCCCATAAAAAAATAAATTTTACTTTAATTAAAATTAGATTATTAAAGAACACCAAAAGTAAACTTTCAATTTAGTCTAGTTTTAACAAAAAGATAATCAGGCCAGGCTCGGTAGCTAAGCCTGTAATCCCAGCACTTTGGGAGGCCAAGGCAAGTGGACACAGGTTCGAGGCCAGCCCGGGCAATTTGGTGAGACCTCGTCTCTACAATGAATAAAAAACTAGCCGGGCTCGGTGGCTCAGCCTGTAATCCCGCACCTTTGGGAGGCTGAGGTGAGTGGACTGCCTGAGCCCACGGGTTCGAGACCCACCTGGTCAGGCGAGACTTCATTTCTACAATAAAATTAAAAAACTAGCCGGGCGTGGTAGCGCGCGCCTGTAATTCCGGCTACTCGGAAGGCTGAGGCGGAAGGATCGCCGGAGCCCAGCAGGTCGAGGCTGCGGTGGCCGGGAGCAGCCACTGCACTCCGGTCTGGGCGACGGAGTGAGAATCCAACTCAAAAAAAAAAAAATTAGCTGGGCTTGGTAGTGCGCGCCTGTAGTTCCAGCTACTTGAAAGGCTGAGGCGGAAGGATAGCTGGAGCCCAGCAGGTTGAAGCTGGGGGTGGTTGTGAGCGTGCCACTACACTCCAGCCTGGGTGATGGAGTGAGACTCCACCTCAAAAAAAAAAAAAAAATCATTTTTCTCACATTGATGAAATCTCTATTTATATATAGATATAGTTATTCATTCATCCAACAAATACCTCTGTATGCTTATTATATACAAAGTACTTGAGGATACTAATAACATCAGTAAAAGATAACTGTAGACAGCAGCTAGCTTCATTCTGCAAAATAGATGTACCTAGGAGTTGCCACAAACTGTAATGATGGAATGTTTCCCATGGTATCTCCTTACCAAGACAAAAAACACATGTTAGTATTATTCTAACCCTAACAACAGATTGTACTAAAAATGCATTTATAAGCCAGGCTTGGTGGCACAGCCTGTAATCCCACGCCTCTGAGAGGCTGAGGTGAGTGGATTGCCTAAGCCCGCGGGTTCGAGACGCACCTGGGCAGCGAGACCGCATCTCTACAGTAAATCAAAAAATCAGCTGGGCGTGGTAGTGTGTGCCTGTAGTTCCAGCTACTTGGAAGGCTGAGGTGGAAGGAGCGCCGGAGCCCAGCAGGCGAGGCTGCAGTGGCCGGGAGCGGCCACTGCACTCCAGTCTGGGCGACCGAGTGAGACTCCAACTCAAAAAAAAAAAAAAAGCATTTATTGCATGAATGAATACTTGGGAGAAATGTTCAAAGTGTTACCACTTTCTCAGCTACAAAACTATGGCTTAAAAATTATCCAAATTTCCAGCTACCTCCAATCATATGATCAAAAATAGATATAAAAATTTCAAGCCAGGCAGCTCACACCCGTAATCCCAGTACTCTGGGAGGCCAAGGCAAGAGGATTGAGTTCAAGACCATCCTGGGCAACATAGCAAGACCTCATCTCTACAAAAAATCAAAAAATTTGCCAGGCATGGTCATATACATGTCCGTAGCCCCAGCTACTCAAGAGGCAAAGGTGGAAGGATCACCTAAGCCCAGGAGGTCAAGGCTGAAGTAAGTTATGATCTTGCCACTGCACCAGTCTGGGTGACAGAGTGAGACCTTGACTCAAAAATAAAGATAAAAAAATCTCAATTTCGTTATCTGAATTATTACATAAGCTTCAAATAATGTTACACTGACCTTAAAGACTGAGAAAGTGAAACAAATTATATTAAATGAAAAGCAGAGTTTAGAAGCAGAAATTTTCCTTAAAGACTGCAAAGGGGAGAGAATATTATAAATGGGAAGTAAACATAATACAAAGCTTAGGAGCACAAGGCTGCGCATTGAATCATACATCAGGCTAAGCCAGCATGTGTCTCTGAGCAATTACTTTACCTCTCTAAGCCGTGGTTTCCTAAATTGATAATATGGAATACCACTGTATTGCTTAGGGATTCAATACAATACAGTATGAAATGTGCTTAGCCTGTTGTCTGACACAACACAGAAATGAATAATGGTAGCTATGAAAAAAGGAAGTTATAGATCATCTTTTCTTCTAGACAATATATGGTTCCCATAAACCAAATTAGACCCTTTCTGTCAAAATGTTTCACTATTTTATCTATACTATAAAGTAGAACATAAATAATAAACATACCAAATTAGCACGTGTGTGTGTGTGTGTGTGTTTAATGCTGCAATCCAGTCTTAGCCCACAATTACTGTCAGAAGAACTTTTTTCTGACACTTTGACAAATGCATGCACAGTATAGGGCAGCAGCATGAAGAGCTTATGAACACAGTTTCTAAAACAAGATTGCTTGTGTAAAATCAAACCCTGCCTCTCACGGGCTATGTTTTCCTAGGTACCATTCTGTTACCTTGGTTTCCTCATCTATAATTTGGGGTTGATAATATACCTAATTCAGCAGGTTATCAAATCCTTATAAGTGTGCAAGTGTTATATATTTTATTATTACAACTGTCCCTGAGTACCCATGGGGGATTGGTTCCAGCACCTCCTTGAATATCAACATTCATGGATGCTCAAGTCCCAGAAATAAAATGGTGCAGTATTTGCATTTAACCTACACACATCCTCCCACATACTTTAAATCACCTCCAGATTACTTGCAATACCTAATACAATGTGTTAATGCTATGTAAATAATTGTTATATTGTTCAGGGAATAATTGCAAGAAAAATGTACACGCAGTGACATGTACATGTTTCAGTACAGATGCAACCATCCATTTTCTTTCCCCTGAAAATAAGAAACGGTTGAATTCATGGATGCAGTACCTATAGATAAGCAGGGCCAACTGTACTTATTATTCTATTATTATACATGTGCTTTGAAATTGAATTTTAAGTTCATTAGAAGACTGAAATAGATTTAGATATTTAAAATAAGTTTCTTAATAATTTCAATTTTCTAGGTAACTCTAAATACGTTCTATACATCCGTTCTAAAGAAAGTAGTATTTGTGGCAAAATCACTCCCTGGGAACTTAAAGATAATGTCTACATAAGAAAGTAACGCACTTTACTCAATTCCAAATTCAAATAAACTCTAGGTGACATCTGCATATCCTGGTACCTAAGGGAAAAAAACCACCATTCATATAAATCAACAAATCTAGCAATAGGGGGTTGAGAAAACACAAGCTTTGAAATACCATCCAGAGTGACAAAAGCAACAATAAAGAACCTGGTATAATACCAGGGCTTCCAGAACACAGGAGGGCTTGCTGCACGCAAAGTGACATGTGGGTCAAACTGTGAACAGGAGTCAGTTGAAGAGCAGAGCAGGCTGGTTAGTGCTAGTAATGGGCAAAGCTGCCAACCACAGAGAATGAAAGTGTAAGCCACCCAGAAGCCAGAGCTAGCAGGGTCCCACTCTGGGATCACTGCACGCAAAGAGGTAAATCTTACGGCAAAGACCTCAGCCTGAAGACCAGCCGCTCTCTTTTTCAGCTCTTCCCCTTGAGTCTCTTTCGAACTTAGTTCCTCCTTCAGTTGCTCTACCTGTCACGACATTGTTATTCTTTTTCACTTATGTGTCAACTTAGGGCTTGTTATTATCTGCTTTTGAGTCAGAGCAGTAACTGGAAATAATAACGTACAAAACACAGTCAAATCTGCTCCCCTAATTCCCTCTTCAATGAGCCACAGATAGTTTCTCTATTTTCACAGGTTTTCTTTTTTAATGGACTCATCCACAAGTGGGAAGCATAAACACAGAGATTATATTACAGTATGTTTTGTTCTCAAATGGAGGTGAAAAATCTAAACAGAAAGTTGAATATGTGAGTTTTTAAGTTCTAAAATTCAGATTAAATTAGTAGAAATCATTGATAACAGAGTCTTACAGTAGTAGAGGAACATCTATAGACTTGTATGCCGGGTATGTATACCAAGCAAGAAGTCAGAAACTGGAGGAGTTAGTTGCCATTTCTTTACACTACTAGGAATGTCTCAGTTTTCAGTTCTAAGAAATTGGAGAATACAATTGGGAAACAGGAAGAAAGCACTTATTTTCTGGCTAAAATGGCTAACTACAATCATGACTTTTAATTAAACCACAACAAAACTGGTAAGACCAGTAAACTGATAACAGTAATAAACTAAATCCTCCAATTAGTTTATGGACTCAAACTAAATGACTTTGGATTGAAAAATGGAATACTGTGATTGATTTAATAAACACAAACTGGTAGGTCTCAGTGGTATCTACCTTACTATACCAATGCCTGAAGTGCACATGGGAAGCAATAACCCTGATAGCAAATGGATCTTCCCCAGGGGACAGGGCAAGGAAAGAGCTAATCTTTATGGAATTAACCCATTTTGGAAAAAAAAGTCTCTTAGGGTTTTGACTCTTAAAAGTCTTTGTAAGAGGTAAAGAGCTTGACGGATGTCTCATATAGTGAGAAAAATTTGTCTGGACCTAACTCTATTGAATCACCTCAGAAGTGCTAACAGACATGAGAAACTAAACTGTGATAATACATACGTGGCCTCACATGTGCAATTTTCTTTTAAGTAAAAACTTACATTCACAGCAACCTGGATGGAATTAGAGTCTGTAATACTGAATGATCATTCACAGAAACAGAGAACTGAGTATCACATGTTCTCACTCATAAGTGGACCGTGAATGCCTATCGTAATACCATAAGAAAAGAATGGACAGTAGTGGGAAACGGTGAGGGGCAGGGGGGCAGGGAGGTGGGAGTGACAGTAGTCGAAATCTGCCTGGTTGGGGGGGGCCACACCTCACCAACAAGGGTACCCACACGATGAATATTTGTGTACCCAACCCTGAATTATACCCCACAATTTCAAAATAAATAAAAATAAAAACTTATAGTAACTATCTGATGTCAGTAATTCCGACTTTATTTCTGGGAACATCCCATTTGAAAGAACTATGCTGTAAGTATTCTTCCCGGACAAAACAGTGCATAGTAGATCATAATCACTAAGGAAGTGAAGAAATATGCATCAATTTTTCAAACCCCTTTTAAGAATTAAAGTCTCACACACCATTACCTTATTTTTCATAAATTTAGAATGGCTCCGATACACCTCCATTTGCTTCATTTCTTCTTCCCTTTCTTCAGTACTCAAAGCCCCATTGGATTTCAGCATCTGAATTTCCTCTTCCAGGTCTCGGAGCCCACGCTCCATAGAGGAAATTTTTGAATCCTGAGGACAATGGAAAACTTAGTGATAAAAGTATTCACAACAATTCAGAGAAGCTGAATAATCTGATCTTTAAAGATGCTATTTTTTTTTATTTTAAAGATGCTAAATTTAATAAAGATAAATATGTAGAAAAATTGGTGCCTGCCAATTGGTGCCTTGCTTCTAAAATACATTCTTTATGGCCATTTGGGTGGGAGGAGGAGCACTCATACCCATAAAATGATATTTCATCTATCTCTGCTTCTAGTTCTGCACCCTTTCAATTTAAGTTGAAATAATCAACTAAAGAAGTAGAAGAAATCGAAAACTAGTTAAAGTTTCTTTGCACCAGAAATTTATAATGGTGAAAAATATTTGTAATATTAAAAGTAAAGCCTTTTCTCATTCTAATATTGTCATTTTACTTAGTGACCATTAAAAGACAAAATTTCTGCCCCAAAGGAGGAGAAAAAAGTACAAGGGTTTCAAAAACTTATACAATAATGTGCACAGAAGTATGTGTAATAATTAAAATTATGTAACATCTCATTGCAGAAAAACAAAAAAGAATAATTATATTAATAGTTACTTTTTATGAGGTTAGAAATCTTATTCTCTGTACTTCTCCATACATTTAAAATAATTTGTCATTCTTAAAAAATCACTGTCCTTGTAAATCATCATCATTATCACAAGTATCAACTTCTAGTAGAACATTCTTCTATGTTAAATTTCTTGATTTTCTCTCTCACAGTATTAGTTTATTTCAGATTGCCTTAGATATCATCAATCACAGAAAACTACATCTAGCTATTTTCAGGTTCAGAAGAGAGTAGGAAAGGATATACTCCCTGTCTTGCTCACTGTATTATCTTTAAAAATAAAACAACAATAAATCTATTGTTTAGATTTTAATAAATCTATTCAAATTGAACTTATATTCTGTTCAAAATCAGATATATCGGATTAATACAAGGAGAGCCATTCTAAACCTAAACCACAGACTTGAATTTATTCATTTATAATTTGTGGGCCTCATGCCATCTACCGACCCATAAAGAGTACTACTTCAATTGCACTTCTGATTCCTCAAGGCTGTTCCCCTTTATGAAAAGCTCATACTCTTTTCCACTTTACTTTCCTCACTGCTGCCATCCAGGGACTTCTCAATCGCTCCTGCCCATTTTTAGAAGTCTTTCTAAAAAAGTCTCACAATCTCCCCTTCAATCGCCACTCCTGCCATTATCCTAGGATTTCAATGTCAAAATTCCTTGCTGTCTTTAATTCCATGACCCCTCAATCCTCCAGTCATTTCAGCTATCCAGCTTATGAGGCTGCATTCTGGATCCTGTCATCACCCAGGACTCTCTTCCCAGGACTGTCACACCCTCACTCTGATCTTCTCCTGTTCCCCAACCTCACTAAGAACACCATTTCCCAATTCATTTGCATCTCAATCATGCTGCTGCATCTACCAAGAAAAACTCTAACCCAGGACAGTACAGTAATTCTCTCTTGCTCTTCTACTGCTAAAGAAAAAAAGTAGAAAAAGGAGAGGAGGGGAAAGAAAGGCAGAGAGAGAAAGAATGGAAGGAGAAAAGATGGTGGAAAAGAGGGCAGGAAGAAGGGAGAGAAAAGAAAATTGCATCATCTTGAAGATTACTGGGTTCGTACATTGTTTATCAATCATCTTCCTTTCCCTTTTCCCCCAAAGACTATTCTAGTTTTTCATAATTCTCTCCAGCTAATACCACACTCTCAGCAGTTCAGCTGTTTCAGTTGTGATTCAGCTTAACATCCACTTGACCCCACTGGGCTACCAGAATCTCTTATTTCTCAGCAGGATGGTTAAAGGCTAACACAACTTAAAATAGATCCACTGCCAATCAATACTATTACACTTCTCTGTTCTGTCAAGAAGCAAGTAAAGAAACAATTCTGTGAACATAGGTCTAATCGTGTGTTTTATTCTTAGTTGCCAATGGGGACTAGGAAATAAAATGTACAAAAAAAAAAAAACTACTGGTGAATGTGAATAAGGGAAAACATACAATTAAACCATTCTAAAGGTCCTTTACAAGGTTTTATTCCAGATTACTAATTAACTACAAAGAACCCAGAATCAACTATTTGGAATTTGTCTGGTAAGTTATTTCCCCATTGACAGTAAAAAATGTACATAGTATAAACAAAATTATAAGAAGAAATCATGCAAATTAAAATAACAGTTCTTATAAGCACCTAAGAAGTACCTATTTTACATAACATTAGTTATATACCAATGATTAAATATTCTTGTTATATTGACAAATATTAAATAAAGACCCAACAATGCAACACACAGTGTTAAGCTTTTCAGGGAATATGCAGAAGTTGGGAGGGGGCCCTATCTATAATAGTTTTTATAAGAAAGAACATATTGTTCATAAAAAATAACAGCAGCAACTAATATGGATTGAATGTTTACTATGTGCTAGATGCTGTTCAAAATGTTTTATATGTTTTAACTAATATAAATCTCAAAAACAACCTACTAGGTGGGTATTATTATTATCACTATTTATCAATAAAGAAATAAAGGCATAAAAAGGTTGGGTAACTTGCTCCATGTTACACAAATGGCTAAGTGAAACCAGACTTTTAAGTCCAGGGAGTTTAATTTAAAAAGCAAGCTCTTGGCCAGGTGCAGTGGCTCAAGCCTATAATCCCAGCACTTTGGGAGGTGAGGGAACTGCCTGAGCCCACAGGTTTGAGAACAGCCTGGGCAACTTGGCGAGACCTCATCTCCACAATAAATTAAAAAAAAATAGCCAGGCACAGTAGCACACGCCTGTAGTTCCGGATACTTGGAAGGCTGAGGCAGAAGGATCGCCTGAGCACAGCAGGTTGATGCTGGGGTGGCCATGAGCGTGTCACTGCACTCCAGTCTGGGCAGTGGAGTGAGACTCCAACTCAAAAAATAAAGAAAACAAGCTCTTAATCACCATACTGTACATCCTAAAGATTTCTAACATTCATTAACTTAAAGCAGAGTTTTCTATATATAGAACCCTAGGGATCCCCTAGGGCCTTTTACAATGTCTACATGGTCAAAACTACTTTCATAACAATACTATGATATTAATTTACTTTTCCATGTGTTAACATTTGCTCTAAAGTTATTAAAGCAATGGTGGGCAAAACTGCTAGCACCTTAACACAAATCAAGCCTGTAATCCCAGCACTTTGGGAAGTGAGGGAATTACCTGAGCCCACAGATTCGAGAACAGCCTGGGCAACTTGGCAAGACCTCATCTCTATAATAAATTTTTTAAAACTTAGCTGGGCGCAGTAGAGTCTTCAATGACTTGCAGAAAAAAAGAAAAAAGAAAAACAACAAAATGTTTAAGACTGCTTCACTTAAGAAAGTCCATGCAGGCTGAGGTGGAAGGATCACTTTAGCCCAGGAGTTTGAGGCTGCAGTGAGCTAGTATCACACCACTGCACTCCAGGCTGGGTGACAGAGCGAGACTGTCTCTAAAATAAAAACAAAAAAGAATGTCCTTGGGGAACCAGTAAACAAGTATTACTTTTAATAAACGTCAACCCTCGAGTATGCATCTTTTTAATATTTTGCATGACAAAATGGTATGAAAGGAATCTGCATGTTGAAGTATAATGGTTAGTATGATGAAGTATGATGGAAAAGTACTTGTGTACTGCTTTGAGAGCTGCAAGCTGAATTCAGTACTTTTTTCATGGAACACTATTTTTACTTGAGAACAACTGACAAATTATGGTTACCTAGACTTGGTATTTGGTAGATATTTTCTTAAAAATGGAGGAAGTGAGCCTGTCACTTTGAGTAAAGAATTCCCGAGATCAAGAAGACTGAGCTGATTTAAAGAAATTCCGGACACCTCTTTTTGGACCAATCTGAATTATGATCTAAAACTGAAAGGAAATGAAACTGAAATTCTTTTAAGATGTTACTTTCACTAAGTCTTACTCTTACTCTCAATCTCTAAAATGAGTGAAATATTGCATACCATTTTCTAAAACTCACATTAGAGTGTCTGATTACTTAAAAGTGTAAAATGATTCATAAAATTCGTCATTAGATTCTCACTTACCTTCATCTCAATAACGGTTTGCAGAGCTTTTGTTTTAGCAGAATCAGGAGCATTCTCAAATCTACGATGGATTTCCTACACAAGAGAAGTAAAAAGAGAGTAAGTGCCCCGCTCCTCACTCTTATTTTTTTGAAAAGAAAGGGAGAATATCCAGCCTTGTGAGACACTGACTCCTTTATCTGTGATCAACATTTTCCTGGGGTTCAAGAAAGTCACAGACTATATTCAGGCTAATTGAACCATGCAGACAGAGGAAGATCCCTCTCTGAACACTTAGTTATTTAAAATTAGTCAAAAAGACAGCAACTACTACAACAGTTGAAATTACAGCACATCCCCAGGGTGGTGTGTCAATCTTCCACATGACTCCAAGATCTAAACCAGAACTCCAAATAATCCCAAAGGGGAATTAGAAATGCTCCCTTTTCAAAGGGAGAAATAAAAGCCAGCACAGTCAGTCTGCAATGCACAAAGTTACTGAAAGCATCTATGATGACAACATACTTTCTACAGCATCCACCCCCAGATTAACAACCACCTGGTTACCCATGATGAAAATCTCTCTCAGGTGGGAATACAGGTAGACAGAGAAAGATGAGACTGTTGAACACATTTCTAAGTAATTCGGGTTTTAAATGTCAGAAAAATATAGCTTTTTCTTTTTTTACCCAAATTTTAATGAATTCAGAATAGGAAGGAGGAGATATTAGAGTCTTCCAGGGTCACCCTGAAGTTACCAGACCACCACAAATGATATTCCTGTCAGATTCCATGAAGGTCTCTGAATATATTGATCAGTACTTCCAAAGTGACCTAGTGACCTCAGGAAATACAGAAATGAATACTTTCCAGGTAAACAGTGCTTAAACATAATAAAAGTAGAGGATAATACTTTAGTTACACCTTTCACCTACTGTATTCATTCTTGCCTGACCAGGAAAAATGGTTTGAAAGAAACAGAAAGCATAACTGCAAATTTCACTGAGTTACCTTCTTAAAAGAGTAGTCCTAATGAACTGACAGAAGTTCTAATTCATAAACAGTTAACAGTTTAAACACCAGTAATTTCTCAACACCCACAATGCCCATTTAGCTGCAGAATACTACAGCATAAACCGCTATGAATACACACCACTTTCTGCTTCCTCTCTGCCTACCTACAGCCTTCACTGTGCAACTACACATCCCACTCATATGTTCAACAAACATTTCAAACTCTGTGCTCAAGACTCAACTCCCAATAGTGCCCCCACCTGCTCCTTACTTCCTGTTTACTCAGGCCAAAAATCTATGAGCCTTCGTAATGCTTTCCTTTCTCTCCCAAGCCTGGTCAGGAAATCCAGTTAACTCAAACTTCAAAACATACTCCACACCTAAGCCCTTCTCTCCATCTCTACTGCTACCACCTGGAGTGAGCCACTAAACAGAATCATATCTTTTAGTCAGCAACCTGCCAACTGAACTTCCCACCATCTTGCTTCCCTACAGCCCGTTCTCAACAGAGCACTAAAGCTGACCCTTTTAAATATAAATTTGCAATTGTCACTCCTCTACTCAAAAACCTATCATGGCTCCCCATAGTGGAGACAGAGCTCTTTCAGTAGCCTTTAAGGTTTCATCTCTTCTGATCCTTCCCTAAGTAGCCATGCTTCCACAACCCTAGATGTCCTGCATCTCCTCAAATACACTAGGCATGCTTCCGTCCCTTAAGACTTTTGCATCAGCTGCTATGGAAGGCTTCACCTACTTCTAGACTTGGCTCAAATGTCTCTTCTGTATTATCAGATTCACTAGTTGTGATAATGCCATTGCAGTTAGACAAGAAAAGTCAGTATGTTTTTGAGATTCATACAAAAGTCTGCAGGGGTAAGAAGACATTGTGTCTGGAATTTGCTTTAAAATCTTTGTAAAGAAAAGATAAAGAAGGAAAAAAGGATACAAGAAAATGGTAGGAAATTTTGGTAACAGGTCTGAGTGATAAGTATATGAGAGGTATAGAGGTTCGTTATACAAAAATTAATGTTCAATGTTCTCAGTATAATCTACCTTATTTTAAAATTTAACACTAACAAAAAAGAAGCCACAAGTCCTTTCCCCTTTATCTTGCTCTACTTTCTCTTTTTCCTACATATAGCACTTATCCTCCAAAGCATTATCATATGATTCTAACATGATATTATATGGTTTATTATGTGTACTGTTGACCTTCTATTGCCCTCTACATGAACATAAGTTCCACAAGGGACAGGATCTTTGTTTCATCCATTTATTGATGAATCCAAAGTGCCTAGAACAGTAGCTGTCACACTGGTAAGTGCTTAATAAATATTTAAAGAATGAATTCTGAATGAATGAATAATAAATGATTACCCAACATTCAAGAATTAGCTTAAAAGGAATTCTTTTAAGCCCCTCCCACTTCTGCACTGAATTATGTGTACTTCCTCTTCTTTCTCACACAGCATGCTACACTTCATAGCCTGTTAGCACTTACCACATTATATTTGGAATAATCTTCTTCTCTAACTTACCAGACTGCTATGTTAGTGAACTCTTTCAGAGTAAAAACTGTCATTTGTATTCCTCAGACACTGTCTGACATGTAAGCACAATCATTAAAAATTATTTCTGGATAATTTGTATTACCCAGAAAATTATTTGGCGGATAATAAATAATTAATTAATTATTTACAGGCTCAAGCCTGTAATCCCAGCACTTTGGGAGACTGAGATGAGGGGACTATCGGAGCCCATGGGTTTGAGAACAGTCTGAGCAATTTGGCAAGACCTCATCTCTACAATAAATAAAAAAATAGCTGGGTGTGGTAGCACGTGCCTGTAGTTCTGGCTGCTTAGAAGGCTGAGGCAGAAGGATCACCTGAACTCAGCAGGTGAGTGGGGTGGCCGTGAGTGTGCCTCTGAACTCCAGCCTGGAGACTCCAACTCAAAAAAAAAATATTTCTCTGCCAGGCACGGTGGTTCAAGCCTGTAATCCCAGCACTTTGGGAGGCCGAGGTGAGAGGATTGCCTGAGCTCACAAATTTAAGAACAGCCTGGGCAACTTGGTGAGACCTCGTCTCTACAATAAATCAAAAAATTAGCTGGGCATGGTAGCACATGCCTGTAATTCTGACTACTTGGAAGGCTGCAGCAGAAGGATTACCTGAGCCCAGCAGGTCGACACTGGGGTGGCCATGAGCACTCCAGCCTAAGCAATGGAGTGAGACTTCAACTCAAAAAAAAAAAAAAATTATTTCTCCTCCACATCCTTTCCTCTTTTCTTAGATGAAGGAATGAATAAAGAGATGAATGAATGAATGTTAAGCCAGTTTCTATCCTCACCTCTCTACTATTCTCCCTAAAATATCAAATACAGGACCTCTTTGTTCCTAAACCTAACAGTTATTGTCAGTTCAATCCTTTCCAAATTCCACCTAGTAATCAACTTTTTTTTTTAAACCATAGAGAGAGTTATTCGGAGGAACAGCTTTAAAAGTATAAACTGAGGCCAGGTGCAGTGACTCAAGCCTGTAATCCCAGCATTTTGGGAGGCCAAGGCAAGAGGATTGCCTGAGCCCAGGGGTTTGAGACCAGCCTGGGAAATCTGGTGAGACCTCGTCTCTACAATAAATCAAAAAAATTAGTTGGGCATGGTAGCACACGCCTGTGGTTTCACCTACTTGGAAGGCTGAGGTGGAAGGATCGCCGGAGCCCAGCAGGTCGAGGCTGTATGGTTGTAAGCATGCCACTGCACTCCAGCCTGGGCGACAGAGTGAGATTCCAACTCAAAAAAAAAAAGTATAAACTGGTTTCCATTAAAGAATTATCCTACCTCTAAATTCTTCTCCTCTGCCCTTTTCCCTTTCTTTCCACAGACAGGCATTTTCTAAGTTTCTGTCCTTGGAACTCTTCTCTATTCTGCAACCCTAATCCAAGGCCTTCATTTAACCCATAGGGTAACAACATCCTGTGAATCAGAAAACAGCAAACTTCTGCGGGAGATGCAACCTTACCATGAAGCACAGGCTGAATCTTAGGTTCCCTATGCTCCGTCAGCAGGAAGCTCTTTGGTGAACAATCAGTACGCACAGCCATGCAAAATAGCCCCGCCCTATTCCCATGGCTTCAACTATAACCTTTGCATGTATAACCCACAAAATCTACTTCTCTGCCCTACTCCTTCCTACTATGTGATATCTGACCTCCCTTCTGGAGTAGAGACTCCACATTGTAAGGGCAAGTCTACCTTCTACAACAGAAACTGAAAATGCCACATACTTGTTGCCCCAGGCCTTACTGTAATTAAGGCCCAGGTACACAACCTAATCACCTCAGTTAGACACCTCATCACATACTTTGAAACGGATTCTCATGACATGGTAAGGCAAGGACATGAATATTTAGAGACAATTTTGGCAATGGGTGGCAGAGGCAGCAGCTACCTCAAGCTTTCAGACTCAGCAACAGCAGAGGTTCTAGTGGTGGTGAGCAGTGTCAGCGATGTCGGTAAACAAGCTGCCAGGCCCTAGGCCTCCCGATAAAATCCGTACTTGTATACATCTTTGCTTTCTTGGCTATCTAAGAGATGTGTCACACTGTTAATACATTCAAACCTGAACTACTGGCCTTCCCCTCCAGATGTGCCTCATCTCACCCACCCTACATCAATTCTTGATAAGTGTCCATCCAGTTCTTCAGGTCAAAAACGCAGGAGTTCCTTCTTTCTAACACCCATATCCAACATACCAAGAAACCCTATCTTCAAAATATCTCCAGAAACTGACCATGTCTTACTATCTCCACCATCTCTGGTCTGAGCCACCCTTGTCTCTTGTCTGGATTACAGCAACAGTCCCCCAAAACTGATTTTCCTATTCACAAAAGAACAGCTACAGTGACATTTTAAAAAGAGAAGTCAAAACATGCTTATGATCCTCGAAAGTTTCTTATTATACTCAGAGTAAAAGACACAGTCCTTATGCTGGCTGCAAGGCTCTCTAATCTGGCCCCTTTACCTCTCTGGCCTCATCTCCTACAATTCTTTCCCTTGCCCAATCAGCTCCAGTCCGAATAGC